AACACGAAGAGGGTATTCCTCGGTCTAGGGAGCAAACTCAGTTTGGAGTTTCCAGAGAAGGCAAGAAGTCCGGGTTGAGAATCGGGGCTGGAAGGGAAAATGCCTTGCGCCTTAGCTGGCTTTCAAGGGATGGGGAGGAAATCTGCAAAAGGGGGGCGGGCTGGGGATCAGAGAGGCTGGGCTATGGGAAGGGAGCTTCCTGCTTTAGGGGTGCAAGGAGGGCGAAGAGTCCTCTATGGCCAAGTTTTCGGCTGCTTGGAAAAAAACGGGATTCTCTGATCTGCAAAGGTGGGGAAGAGACGTCAATATCTCCACTGGAGATCTCAAAGAAACGAAGGACTCGCAGGGAGAAGGGCTGGATCTGAGGATCCTCTGGAGCCCAGACTAAAGAACACAGCCAACGATTCTTTCAAGCTTTTTCCTGGGTAGGGGGTCTTCTTTCCAAGAGGGGAAGGTCGACCCGGACAGGGTGGCTCTTCTGAACTAGGGTAGGGAGTTTTCAAAGGGGAGTGTCTAAAAACAGACACCGAGGGCAAACAATTGCAGGATTGCAGGGCAGCTAGAGGTCGTCAGGATCGGGGAAGGGGCGCATCCTGAACTGAGGGGGGGGAAGGCTGCCTGCCTGCAGGGTTGTTTGTTTGTCGGTGGGACTGCTGCAAGAAGCAAAGGGCAGGGGAGGAGTTGGGGGCTGGAGAGGCTGAAGGAGAAATGGAGGGACGGGGTTAAGAAATGCTGGGGGAAGGAAGCCCGTCCACTTTCCTTGCTCTTCCTCGTTCTTGGCTCCTTGAGCAGCGAAGAGTGTGTGTGTGTGTGGGGGGGGTCCTCAGGTGGGAAAAGAAAGGACAAGAAAAGAAAAGAAAAAGGCACGCCTGGAGGAGGGAGGCGAAGAACAGTCCAGCTTCTTTTCGTTTCGGCCGCGCTCCTCTGCAGGGTTTTAGAAAGGCTGCCCCCAACCGGAGAAGGTCGCTCGTGGGAGAGAGAGAAAAAACATCGACTTTTCCTTGCGGGACTCCACAGGCGCCCGCCGTCTTAGCAGGAGGCCAGGAGGAGGCAGCGCTTGCCCATCCTAACCGGGCGCCTGGAGGGGACCGTCGGGCAGGCTGTGGGCGAACCTGGGCGCCGCTCCTGGCTTCCCCCCTGCGCGGAAGGAAACTTTCCCCGGGGCGGGTCGGAGGAACCGGCTCGCTCTTTCTCTCTCCCTCCGGGGGGAAGGCGAATCTTCACCTTCGAAGAGCCCAGACGCCCTCTCCTCCTTCCAGGCCGGCCTCGGGCTCCCCGCGATCCCTGAAGAGAAGACCGCCCGTCTCGGGGGACATGAAGAAGAACCGTCTGGCCCCCTCGATGCGTCCTCGGGGGCCCGTCTAAACGCGAAGAAGAGCTCCGGAGTCGCTTCTCCGCGCCGGCTGCTGGGCGCACATCGCCGGTGGCTGGAGGGTGGGCTTAGAGTTCCCTCCCGGGTCGGATCATTCTCTTGGAATACGAAAAGGGGGATGAAAACGGGGTCTCTTCTTTGGATCCCCCCTCGGCACTTTCTCTCCCAGCCTTACCCCTGTCGGCAAGATCGTTTCGGCTTTTTTCTCTTTGCGATCCTTCCCTCTCTCCCTCTGACAGATAAGACGCAGCCCCTCAAAGGGAATAAAACAGCTCCCTCGCTCGCGATCTCCTTTAGCGACCGCGGCGGCGAAGCAAGAACTTTGGCGAGGCGTCCACCCCCCCCCCAAGCCAGCCGGAGGAGGAGCTCCGCGCAGCC